GGTCGGCGGGGTGGGCAGGGGCGCTGGTGGCTCTGTCCAAGGTCTCCGGGAGTCGCCTCCGTCCAGGGGCTGTTCAGCGCCGGGGCGCTCGCGCTTGTCCCCAGGTAACCGAGATACTTTCTGCTCAGGTGTGGAGGGCTTCCTGCTCCTCCGCTCGGTGTTTCATCACCGCTTCGGTGTAAAAGTGGCAGAGAGTCAGCTCCCCGATCCAGGGAGGCGAGAGGCAGAGGAGGCTTTTTTCTGTCACTGTTGAGGGGGGTTTGTCAGTCTGGCAGGTTCTGCGAATGCCGTGCTTCCTTCTTTTCCGCTGTGTTTGCAGAATTGTGGCCTCTGGGGCAGGAAACTTGGAACTACAGAAATATTTGTACATTTTTTCCCTAGACCTGTTTTAACTCTAAAATCTCTTGAGGTTTAAGTGGCATCTCAGTGGAAGTCATGCAGTTTGCTTTGATGTTAGCGGGGTACAGAATATTTACTGGTAGCTTTCATGTTTAAGATAATTGTAGCGTCCATATGGAAGGAATGAGGGGCTGACAGTCTTCCTCTTGAACATGGAAGTGTGTATACTTGTGGCTCCTGTACTCTACCGTGATTTGCATGTCCAGTTCAGTCAGCTCCATGCTTGGGAAGCCTTCAGCAAGGCTTGGAGCTTGCTCTTTGTGCACACACACTTCGTGCCACTGTTCAAAGGTCTGGAGAGCTGCAGGCACACGCAGGCTGCCTGACTGGGAACGTGCAGCGAGGAGGGAAAAGGTCTCAGAGCCTTAATCTTGCAGCAGTCCTTTCCATCTCCCCCTGGGCCCAGTAACTTCAGTCTTCTGTTTTGTAGCAAGTGCTGTGAAGAGCTGAACATTTGTACAATACAAAAATCTTTAGGAAAATAAATGCATTTTTTTCAGGGAAAATATGCCAAGTTTAGTCCTAGAAACAATACACACAGCAGAATAGTAAATTAATGTCTTATCTCACTAGTTAATTCGTTTTAATTTCTAACTCCATTCCCAGTGCAAGTCAGAATGCATAGTGCTTCATGCATACATTCAGATTTGCACCTGTCTTCTGGTTAAGATGAGAGGATCGGAGAACAAAAAGGATCTGATACAAAGTTAAGCTTCTTCAAGCATGCAAAAGCCTTTTTAAATTTCATTTATTTATTTATTTATTTTTAAATGAGGCTAAAATCATTATTGGGTTTTATCTCTTCTGCCTATCTCAAATTTGGCATGTATGCAGGTACAATGAAACTACAGTCTTAGTGTCAGTTCTGGATGAAAGAACACCTGCTTGATTAATTTCTGTTGAACTTCTTTAAGAAATTCAAACCATTTTAATCCTACAGAGCTCTGAATCTTAGCAATGGTTTTTGTTACTATTAAAAAAGAAGAAAAGTTAATGAACATACTTAATTGAAGTTGCTTAATTTTGTATAGACTAGAGGGGATTTCAACAAATTATAAAATAAACATTAAAAAAATCAGTTCCTTCCAGGAATGGAATATGCTAAAATCTGAATGATGTTTTCTATTCACAGAGTAGGGCACGGGAACAGTCTGAATATAACTTAAGACGATGGCAGCACGCTGGAGAAGAATCCTGATAATATTTGTGGCAGCTCAAGTACTATTTGTGGTAAATGCCTTTGAGGAAGAGGATGTACCTGAAGAATGGATTCTTCTTCATGTTGTTCAAGGTCAGATTGGAGCAGGAAACTACAGCTATTTGAGACTAAATCACGAGGGCAAGATAGTCCTTCAGATGCGGAGTTTAAAAGGCGACGCAGACTTGTATGTGTCTGACATGACTCTGCACCCCAGCTTTGACGAGTACGAGCTACAGTCTGTAACTTGCGGCCAAGATGTTGTCCACGTCCCCGCGCACTTCCGCCGCCCCGTGGGAATCGGGATTTACGGTCACCCCTCTCACCTGGAGAGCGAGTTTGAAATGAAAGTGTACTACGACCGAACAGTTGCACAGTATCCGTTCGGCGAGGCTTCTTACAACCCCGAGGAGATGGAGGCCAACCAGAAATACTCACAGTCTACGGAAGATGAATCTCAGGATGAGGAGTCTGTTTTCTGGACCATACTTATTGGAATCTTGAAATTAATACTTGAAATTCTTTTTTAAATTGATACACATTGGACTAAGTCACACTTCAGCCTGTGAAACTGAACATGAATGACTTGCTGCAATATTGAATACTCTTGTTATGTTTCCTGAAGAGGTATTCAGGTTACTTTTCCTAAACCAGAAAGGAAGTGGGGGGAAAAAAGCCATATTTAATTTTATATTTTAAGTCCTCCCCTGTATGTATGTAAGATGAACAGCAAGCACAGTATCTGCAGTGTTCTACAGAGATCAGGGCTTAAAAATGGATGTAGAGTTGGGATCTTGTTAATATCACTTTAAACAGGTGCTTAGGAAAATCAACTCCAATTCAGTATTTTCTATTGTTTTTTATAAAGAAAAGTGAAATAAAGTGCTGCACTTCAGTGCCCCCTCTCAATTTAGAGCACATTTAAAAATAAAATGTACTCATTTTCTGAGCAAGTATCTCCAGTAAAACTAATTAGCAGGGGCTTCTGAGTGTATTCAAGTTGAGGAGCCTAGAGTGAAGGAAGGAAAAAACAATCAATCACCTAAGGGGATAGATGATCTATATTTTGACTGCTTGTGCTCTACATCATGTCAGCCATCTGTCAAGCAGAGGTCTGTCTGGTCACTCATCACCTCTGCAAATCCATGACCTGAATCCAGTACATGTTACTTCTTCACTGCTACAGCAGGGAGAGTAAGCCTTCAGCTGTTGTTACTTGTCAATACGACATTTTCAGTCCTTGTTAAAAGCAATGCAGCACAGAGTATCTTGAACTCAAGAGGTGTTTTCTTAGACCTCCCTTTATAGCTTTTTGTGATTGATTTTTTTAGTACATCTTTATAAATATTAGCTTGCAAAGAAAATCTCTGCTGAAAGGAATGTGCAGTGCATTTTGAGAAGGTCGGGTCATGCCCACTCCTCCTTGAAAGTCAGTTTTTCCAGGAGTATTTTTTGCTTTGGTTGAGTCTTTCAAAATAACCAGTTGCTATGCAAATAGTGTACATTTAAATTGCTCTGTAATTATCTTTTCACAGAGCTTACTGATGAGTGCACTGAAATAAACAAGTGTGTTACTATAATTTTATACAAATGGGGCATGTACAATTTAATTACTGAAAGTCTTTTTGAGTGGGAATTTGGCTTGTCTATCTCTAGCTAGACATCTGACAGGCTGTGATTAGTGACTTGTATCACAAAAAAAAAATCATTATATAGCCAAAATTAAAAGTTTATTTGGTAAAAAGAAAAAAAAAAAGTGGTATTGTTCCTCTTAAGAGTGGTTGGTTAAATAGCACCAAAGTATCACTTTAATTTGTGCAGGTAAGTTTTAGATAGCAATTTTGGGGGGGGGGGTTAGCCCTCCTTGCTGTTTTTCCCCCTTCTTCCTCCTCTTCTGGGAACGGGAGAGTCTTTCTGACAACAATCACAAATCCAGCGACCTAAGGAAAGAAAGTTATCAATTATTGGGAAACTACCTTTGTTACTCGCTCCTCTAGTTGTGCACCTTTCGCCATTCTAAGTGCTCACCTGTTTGCAGTACTTCCTTTAATGTAAACAACCCGTGCTTTTCCTTAAAATGTAAGCATCTTTTCTAAAAGGTATAGAAAGCAGCATCTAAAATTCACCCTCCCTTGCAGACTCATTACAGGTAAAAGCTTTTAAGAAGAGGTAGCAGTACTAGGGAGGTGGTTATTAGGAAAGAGCGTGACAGACTGTGCTTGAGTTTGCGAGGTGTATTTCCAGGTGAATGACCACAGCTGGAGGTTATGGACAGTTACTCAGAGCAGAAATGAGCAGCAGTAGAGGAACGTTGTTCTTCTGCCACAGGTAACAAGGGTCCCACTGTGGCACTTGTTTCAGCAGATTAAAATGCTGGCAGGGGTTCACTACCAGACTTTATACTGTCATTTGCTGAGGCAACAACAAAGGGCTGAGCAAAGAGAAGCATTTAATTGTTTTAAATTTCAACAGCTGGAATCATAAAGGCTGCTTCGGTGATTTTATAGCTTTGTAAGCATACAAACTATTTTGTTTAGATCCTGTCCTTAAGACAGTCTGAAAGTTAAATCGGCCACAGAACCTGTACTAAAGTGACATCAAGCTCCAGCACTTCCCGAAACAGGAATATACAGCGTATCTGAAGTTCGACAGTTACAGGGAATATTGTTACTGCAGAACGTGCAGCTACTGGGTACTTATTCGTGAACTTACCACGGATTTAGTATGACATGAAAAGCAACAGTACGACCAGTTATGTATATGCCTGAAGCTTTCTTTACACTGCCTTGAGCTGGCCAGGTGATGCAAGTGACCAGGTAATTTAAAGGTACACGCTGCCTGACACCTAGGTACTTCACTTCCAGCTTTGATGTTTAAGAAAAAAAGTGGGAAGGGGGTTTAAAAAGGTGTTTACAAATATTACATACTGAAATAATAGCACAAACACTTTATTATTGTGAAAGCTATACTCCAGCAATATGCAGCAATATAGCCTCTTTACAGGTTTCTGTTATGAAAAGAGGTAATTATTCTCAGTATTCCGTAGAAAAGGGGAAAAAAACAACCAAACCACCTAATTCTGAATGACTCTGTTTGGATTCTGTTGTAAAAGCCAATTATATTTCCTATACAGGAATTGCCAGGTTAAACTGTGCCCAACCAAATATGCAGAAATAAAGCTTATTAAAAAATCGGGTCCTACAGTGTGAATGCTTTCTTTCAGTATTTCTTACTCCTACCCGTCACACTTGTTTAAAACTATTTTTCCAAAGCAATGCATCTATTAATTCTGACAGAGGAAGCCCAGGACTCAGAGGAGGTGGGAGGGGGACAGTTAACTCTTACTTCATTACCTGAAGGGATAGCATCAAGCCCCACACAAAAAGTGTGATAACCACGGTCACATACGTCACAGAACATCATTTCTTCTTCGTGGTGAGGCTGCCCGCATACAATGCATGTTTTACACTCCATACATTGCCAAGGATAAGTCTTAATCATAGCAACAAGCTCCGGGGTCATATCAAGGCAAGAAGGGTGGCCTAGATTAAAACCAGTATGATTACTTTTATGTCTGAAATGAAATGTAAAATTAGTTAGACTGTTTGCTCTTACAGATGCTGCAGCTTAGCTCACCTCCTGGTGAGATCCCACAGTGTGCTAGTACATGTCACACTAAATAGAGATGGAGTCTTAACGAAGGACAGAAAAGGCAACTGAACTGCTGGTAGGCAAGTGTAGTACACTAAGTATTTCCACAAAAAGAGCTGTCAAACAAACTCCCTTAGGAATCTGCTTAGTGGGTGCAGATACTTACCACTGTTGTCACACTGGGAGCAATGTATAAGAGCTTCAGCTTTTCCTTTCTTGTTGGACTCCTTACCCTTCAGACAAATTCCACATATAGCATTTGGAATGACCTTTGGCTGGAAGGGTAGAAGAGGGCTATAAATTCATTCCAGAAGAATTTACAGATTTAACAGGAAACGTCATATACCTCCTTAACTCTTAAAATTAATGAACTATCTGTTATGATGTGTGAACCTTAAAACATGACAATAATTGACAAGCAGCAGCACTGGAAAAAACCATAGGTTAACTACAGAAAATTTTGCATTTGCACACGTAGTGAGTTATATGTAAATCAAACAGGAGCAAAAGCATGTACTCGCTTCTTCCTATGGATTCATCAGCTAACGTTGCCCTCAATATAAATTAAATGTGACATAGCATTAAAAATTTCAGTTTTTTTTTTTTCCCCAATATAGAATACTTCTTTATGAATCTCCATGCAGATTTCTTCTCCATGGAAGAAAGTAAATACAATTTTCCATTTGCATTACATTTGTCCCTAAATATGGAAAAATATACAAAAGAAAGAAACTTTGTTTTTGTATCTTTAGTTTCAAAATATCTGGTTAGCGATACTGTACACAGCTATCTGTTGTACCATTCTTTCTTGTATCCAGTCATAATCGCTGTAAGAAATACACACTCTTGCACTTAACTTCAGTTTTACATTCATCATCTTTCTAAATGATCATCTGGAGTTTATTTGGGCCCATAAGATCCATTTAGAAGGTAAGAGAGAAACAGCCAGCTGTTACAGCGAGTAACAGTGGTGTATGTATGCTGTGTCCCAACCCTAGAGATACACCAACAGTTTTATCCTGATGAGGACCAAGGAAGAAGTAAGGCATTACGAATTTCAGTGGTTACATTGTTGAGCTTTGATGACTGCAAAATGAAATTAGTGAGAAATAGGGTTTAAAATTAATACAGTACTCACTGATGTTAAATGGACTAGTGCCAGAGTTTTGAAAAAAATGTTGCTGCAAAGACGCAGCTAGTAGAGGGAGTTCGAGGCATATCCTGTTCTCTAAGGAACTAAACAGCTTGTCAGTAAGCAAGGAGAGTTCCAGTCAACTACCAGCCACATGTGGGGAGGGAGAAGAATGAAGTTTAATTTTAAAAATAAATTTAAAAAGTGAAAACAGAAATATATATATATGAAAAAAAAAAATATTACCAAGATCTTTTGCAATACAACTTATCTTTAAGTGTGTCTATTTCTCCAGCCAGTTTTTTCTGGTACCTAGCAAGGTAATTAATATCTTGACTCATTTTTAAGTAGTCAGGACACATTGCTTTAAGATTTATGAAGTTTTCAATATGCTTTTTAAGTTAAAATGGCTACAATCTGCTTCAAATTGTCTGGTCTAACGAGTTTTATTTAAGAAAACAAAACACCATACCAGATGTTTATGGGTAACTTCCTTCAAAAGATGACAGAGGCATTCATTCAGACTTTTTTTGCTTATTTATTTTAAAAAAAACAGAGTCAACCTGTTTTATACATAAATATAATAAAACAATAAAAGAAGTCTAACATTCACAAATGTCTCTACAAAATAATAAATATAATGGAAGCAAAACCACACATAAACTCTTTTACTGTTAACTATACTATGTGTCCTACATGTATACCTTTATACCCTGCTCCTCCCAACAAAAGTGGCACATGCTTAAACCTCGTCAGTGTTGCAGCATTTACCCTTCTGTTGTTTAGGCTATATTCTAATTTTTTTTAATTGGGCTTTCACCTATTTCTAAGTAAACCAAGCCTTTCTAGAATAGCAAGTGCACTTTTCTAATCAGCTTCTATTTGTTACAGATTTGTATTTTACTGCCTTTAATATACAGTAGCGTACTCCCTTGTACTCCAGCAAAACTAAAGTGAGCTACTTTTCGGTCACTGTACCTGCGTCAGGGTAGGTACAGTTAACACTCTGATACACATAATTCTAAAGCTAAACACTGATAGAGATGCATTTATTAACAATGCTTCCATCTGTTCTTTCTTCAGTAAATTGTGTTCATTGGAAATCATGCACGTTGTGGGGGTGAGAATTACAGCCTATTAATAATAAAGTTCCAACAGTACGGAAGTATTTTTACAAAAATGAAAAAAAAAATTAAAAATGCAACACTATTCACATTTCTAAACCCATAAATGGCTTTTAGAAATGCTATGAATAATGTCTATGAAATCCAAATGGGAAGTCATCATATTCCATCCGATTAGAGTAAATTTTGCTTTCTATGTCCTCGTCTTACTGGGATGAGGAAGGGAGCGAAAATGAATGCAGGGTCAAAATGATGACTGCCTGCTCTGTAAGTTTTCACTTCCATGCTGCTGTGCTGCAGCTCTCAAAGTAAGCATTCAAACTACACCATTTTTATAAGGTCCTATTCTGAATGCAGAGCGTTCCATTTTCATATACAGTGACCCGAAACAGAAGTGTTGTAAAATATCAATAATCTCAATACATTTCAGTTTTATGTGCAAAAAATCTCCTGTACTTTTAACAGTACCCTGTGTGTGCAATTGTAGTAGCCAGTCCTGCAGCAATAAAGACTCACTACTTGTAACATGACAAAATGTAAAACACACGCTAACCGTTCTTTGTTAAAGAACTGACAATAAAAATGGCTCCATATAAAATACATTATTTCTTTTACTCAAAAATAACTCAGTGGAAATGTGTGAATCCTGCAATACTCTCATAATGTGGCTATAACTATACATTTGCATGTTGATGCCACAGCAATTATCCTTCAATTTTAACTACATGCAACCAAAAGATTACTGTCCTACAAAAATAGTCAAATATTAGAGAACAATACAGACCAAAAGTATTACAAAGATTTAGAATTCACAGGGACAGCATTTTAAATCAGTTAAGTATTCAGCTGTAAGTGCCTTAACATTCAGGCACACACGATTTATCATTATCTGGTGCTTTTATAGACTAACAAACAAGAATCTTTCTGTCTTACCAGTTAAAACAGCTCATGTGAATTGGGTTTACTGAAAGCATTTAAACATTCCCACAAACGAGAAAGCCTCCGCTCACCGTCCCAACGCATCACCACCACATCTGAGTTACCAGCAGCCCGATGGGCTGATGCAGGCAGGGTACGCTGACACTGCAAGTAATTCCTCGTTACTAACACAGTCGGTGATTCTGAACCAGTAGGTAATTGCTATTTTCATATTCATTTTCAAAATGCAATGCTGTATTCTACCATTACCCTTCTACAATTAGAAGTTCAGAACTTTGCAGAAAGTTCTGCTACATCAGTCCTCTCCCTATGCATTCATAAGGCCATTAAATAGATTGGACTAATCAAACACTCAGGCATCTCACAGCTCAGGGAAACTCAAATCAGCGTCACACAAACTAAAGTTAAAAAAAGCTAAAAAAAAAAATAAATTTCAAGCTGCAACTTTGGATTTCATGTTCATGGGAATATTGGTATGCATTCTGAGTCTACAACAATTTGCAAAGTTACATATAAAAAATATACATATGGTATCACAGTCTAAATCTCCGTATTTTGCATATTTCTTAATAAATTCCTGAAAAGAGAAAATGCAACTGGAGCTTGCTATCTGTTATGGACTTGTACAGATACTGTATGTAAAGAAAATTTATCAAAGCTGTCAAATTCTTGCTGGAAATTAGCTTCTTAAGATAAATTGTAGTTTATTTACTCTTAACTTGGTAAATACAGATAGTAAATATTTATGAATATAAAATACAAGCCATCAACAGCTCATTTTTGCTGAGACAGTTTGTCAATATCTGCGACCTTGTCACTGACAAAAAGGTTCTTTTTTCCACAACCCCTCTTAACGAGCATTCCTGATTACTAAATGCTAAGCCTTATCTTAATGTAGTGTTTTCCCCCTTGATGGGTCTATTCCTGCTCCCACCTAAGTCAATGGAAAATTCCCATTCCTTTCAGTGGAACAGGATTAGGCAATAATGTGCTTTAAAAGTGTTACATCATATTCGGATCCTCTCTTAGTATGCAGAATAATAACACATCAATAATGCATGTCAATTCCCATTTCTTCTAAAAAGTATTTTTATCTTAATTTTTGAAATTATTATACAGTAATACTGATGATTTGGGTCTTAGGTTTGGCAATCACTGCTTGACAGCTGAAATGTCTTAACAACGTCATCAAGTTTTTAGCTTGGATAAAAGCATATTGCCCACAAAAGTTTCTACATATTATGAACTACATATAAAAAGCTATTTATTTTCCATATACTGTTAAAGTGGTTACGTAGTGTTGCCCACACAACTGTAGTAAGCTTCTTGCCTTCCATCCTATACATTATTATACCTCAGGATGAAAGACTATTTAAAATGAAAGTCATAACCATATGTTCAGCCGCATAGCTGCACTTCACAGCACTGATCTCTTGATATGCTGCCATACTAAACAGCAGGAAAAAAAACCAAACGCATACTGAATGCTAGTTATAAACTGGCAAGTAACTCTGACTGCTGTGGTAAGGCAGACAGAAAGATGCAGAGTTCCAATGATAAATCCACAATGGATTTTTCTGGTGTCACTGCCTGGGAATCTGAGAAGTTAACAGAAGCAGAGGCCACTGTATAGCTAAGGTAAAGGAAAGCCCCACATGAAATAAAAGCAAAAAAGGAAATAAGGAAGCAAACAGATGGAGCACACAACAGGAGAGCAGCTAGTCAAGTACAGCAAGCAGAAGTTCCATATTACTGAAAAAAAATAGGTATTTCAGGGAGAGGCTGGTCAGTAAAGAAGTTCAGTCAGGGGCTTTTTTCTTCTACCTTGTACCCAGGAACTGATTTGGATAATACAGAACGTTTGGAACCATCTTTTCTTGGAGTAGCACTTTTGTCTCTTGTTTTTTGTCTTCCCTGAAAAGAATCCTCCTGGTTGTCTGTGGCGCAATCACCTTCAGATACATTGCCAGACGAATTGTCCTATAATAAAAATACCATAGCTATATTTTTTATTTTTTTGATAGACAATCTTTCCTATGCCCCTCAGAGCCAACGTAAGTAAGAGAAGGACACATCTTTCCTTCTGCAAAAGCATGAGGTACACCACAATCTGTAACACTTCTGTTCATAATCTTCACTATCTATTATTTCTCATGCTAGCAGACTGGCAGCAGCAACAGCAGTCATGTTTTCCAGTTGGTCTTGATACAAGAGTAGGGAGCATAACAGTGTAATTCTTTGAACCATTTTCCTTCAAAAGTCAGTAAGAAATCCACTATTTGTAAGATGGTGTTTACAAAGTAAAGGGCCAGCAAAAAGTTAAAAGTGCCCTTGCTGTGCATTTAAAGTGTACTACCAAACAGCACTGCCTTGAATTAAACATGTGAAGGTTTTTTCTGCCACCCTCATCTACTGTTTTCACCAGGAGCAATTTAAATCTTTCATTTGGATTGCAGCAGAGGAATGCCATCAAAGGCAAAACACACTTCAGTATTTAATACCAGAACAAAACAACAGAATTTATGATACAGTTAAAGCTTTTTTTTTTTTCTTTTTTTTTTTTTTTTGAGGAATGGGGAGGCAAGAAAGAATGGAAGAGGCTCAAAGAGGGTGAGAGATCAATGTAAGCATAATTAAGAGCAGCAGCACAAGATTTTTCTCAGAAAAGTGTTAATAAAGGCCTCCAAAAAGCTCCAGAAGAAAGGAATATGATTAATCATATTTATTACAATAAAAAACAAAAGGCCAAATAACAATGGTGCCCTACAGTAAAAGGCACTCTGAACAAACATAATAGTAATCGGCCTATGCCCCAGAGCCTGAAACCAAAACAGATAAAACAAAAACAGGGCAAAAGGAGGAATATAACACAAAAGCACAGCAAACTATATAGCAACAAGAAATTGTATGTTTCACCATTATTTTAGGGGAAGGGTTATTCAGGACAGGCTCCTTAAAACACTCAAGATGAAAATTGCTACCTGCCTCCAACAATGGGGAGAGTGAAAAAGGAAAAAGCATGAAGCATATTGTAGGACTCACCAGGGAGATCTGACGAATGGTAGGTAGCCCAAAAATCAGGAAAAGAGGCCTGACAACTGCCCATCTCTGTGTTCCAACAGATATTTTTCCTGAACAATATGTCCCAATGACCAGCAAAGAATCCCTGCTCCCACAGTCAAATCCGCTTCACAGGAATCTCATTTTAAATTTTCCCAACACTCTTCCAACACAAGGACATTTTTTCTGGTGTTACTGCCTGGGAATCTGAGAAGTTCTCTGAATCTGAGAAGTTCTCCATTCTGTCACCAAAAAGACTTCTGAACTTCTGTGAAAAATGAATGGATAGTCTGCTCGGTCCAGTTACTTTTCTTTGCCATTAAAGGGAATGGAAGTCAGTGGAAAAGGGAACTGGGAAGAAATGGTTAAAGACCAACTGTAAAAATGCTGGAGTGTGATTGAACCAAAATTTTGAGTTGACATTTAGCATGCTAAGTTTATATGAATTTATTTTTCTCCAAAAAACACAAGCAGAAAGGGTATATTAACAGCTCTCTCTCCCTTGTTAGCCTAAAAGTCGACCCCTTCCTTTCTTCTTCAGTTACATCTTATTAATATTCAAAAAAATTAAATGTTTATGTGGTGAAATTTACCATTATATAGACCCACCATCTAACACGTTTGTCAACTGAACTAGGTTTAAACTTCTGGAAAGTGATTGTCACCAACATACTAACAACACCGATATACCAATGGTTCAGTTGTACTCAGGCAGCTCATCTGAAGTTCAGCTGCTCTTAAACACTTAAAACACTATTAGGTATGTGAAAGTTTCCCTTAACCTCCAGTAACAGTTCATTTTGTGTTTGCATAAATAGAACATAAACATCTTTTTAAAGATGTATTGTAAAGTAAAAAAAAAACCAGTGCTTTTTATCTTCTCTTTAAATTGGATTAAAGTAACTGTTTCTGCACTACTTCCTGCTCCTACGTTGCAAGAAGAAAAAGTTATCAGGCTATCAATACCCTTGCTTTCGTGACAGAGTCTGTGTGACTGTAATAGCAAAATACACTGTGACCTGAACCACAGTGTTGATTCCTCTCAGCAACACTAGCGACTTGCCCTCGGGGAAAAGGGCATAACAAAGAGCTGCAGTTGGGAAGATTCTCCAAGGTCTCTTCAGGAAGAAAGAAGAAAAAGCCTAACATTTCAACTATTTGTTTGATTTACTTTAAAAATGGATCAAAACAGAAAGCTGGGGAGAAATGTTACAAAATAAAGAGAAGTACTAAAAAAAAGGGAGTACACTTTTGGTTGATGATTCTCCTTCATCTTGTAAACAATCATTCTACTAAGAAACTACTGAAACTAACAAAAGTGAAGGGAAAGGATTCTTTTGTTGAAGAATACTTTCAATTTGCCTCACCGAATTGCCTTTGGTTTTCCGCTTTTCATCACCTCGCCCTTCCTCTGCGTCATCTGAATCTCCATCACTGTCTAATGCAGGCAGCTCTGGATCCAGGGGAGGTTCATAAAGAGCCGTGTTTAATGGCAAGTAACGAAGTTCATCTGGAGAGTATCTAAAGTTAAAAAATAAAAAAATAAATAAAATAATTTCATGTGTACTTTATGCATAAATATTAAGTCACAGCATACGAAGACCTCAACGAGAAAGTAAAAAAAGTTCCCTGTTTTCAGGAACACGCAGTTCTGAATGCATAGGAAATCTACTAATATCTCCTCCCAAATAGGACACAATATAGTGCTTGTTTTCTTTGTATAGCAGCTATTTGTGGAACACAGGAAGAGTGTATTTGCAGTGTTCCAAACCTACATAATCACAAGAGGCCACAGAACCCCTAAAAACTTTTAACCAATCCCTGTTAACATGCCCAACAGACTACACACTTTGTTTATAAATGTACAGTGCCCACATAGCTTGTGCACAATTCTAACCCAGGGCACACAGCCAGCTAGGGTACAAAGCAAAGAATATAGCTATATGTCTGAGTTACTTGATTACTGAAGGAGAAAAAAAATGCATATTAATATATAATTTCAGAAGAATGTGAAGATCTAATCACATTACTTATAGTCAGATATAGCTTAACATGTATAATCCACCCCTTTTAAAACTTTAAATACTAAGAAAAAAGTTAAAGTCCTCTTACTATTAAGGACAAGCATTGTAAAGAGTAGGATATTATTTTGATGCATATTGAAAGGCTCTGTCCTTCATTAAGAAGGATAAGTAGTTTCACTTGCAGCTTGTAAGTGCAAAAATAAACACGGTATCTAGTATTTTTAATTCAATTAACTGAATGAAATTTAATTCCTTCAAGAAAGTCCTGTAACATGCAAATTTGGAGTGGGCTGTATGCACACACACTGGAATGAGCAAGGCATATGCAGATACAAAGCTTCTCTAAAAAAAAGTTGTGCATGTATGAGCACATTTCTGTTTTACAGATGGTAAGACTCAGGAAACAATTTTCAAATCAGTTGGTATCTGTCAAATGGGAGCATGCCACCAGGTAGTCTTAAATGAGTGTAAACAGTCAAGTACACATTTTTCATTAAATATAAAGATCCAACTAGCAATACTTACAAATCCAACATTAAACTTAAGCCACAAGACCAATCAATTTTTTAATTTAAATTTAAAACTTTCTAAAAATTGAAAAAAGGACAGTAAGACTGTCACACGGAAAACATGTGATCGCAAGCCAGCATTACAGCATTTTGATATAGCAACATTAATCTTAGCACACATGCAGAGACAGATGATAAGTAAACACATGAGGGTGGCAGGAGTGAAATCAATGTCTCTTTTTACCACAGTAAACATCTGAGCAGGTCAAATCTCAGGCACTGCGATACATCAGCAGAGACAGTATTCTTGCAGCCAGTACTGCTTTGTTGACAAAAGCTGTCTCGCTATGCACCTATTAGACTACCAACTGTCTCAAACATAAAATTAATTCAAAACCTTACAACTGAAATGTTTTCCACCTGCAAGATGGAGAGAAAATAGATGAGTGCAACAGAATTGGCAGTTATGACACTTTTAAAATACCTTTTGTAGTACTCCTGGAACTGACCGGGTATGAGAGCCACTGGATAAGGACTAACCTTTGTTCTCTCTGTAGGCAAGATTTTGTATTTTCCTTGAGGCACCTGGATAATCTGTATTGTTTAATACAAAACAATGATGTTTGTGTTTCACATACAAACTCTTGAACCTTCCTCACCATCTACATCCCCCCTCCCCCCAATTATTTTTTAACTAGCCAGTTTTATCAAGTTGGAACAGCTACCCGAGTTCTTCCATTCATTAATGGAATCTTCCAATCCAATTCATTAAAGCAGTAAGCAATCCCACTCATGAAATAATATTAATTAGTGATTAGCCCAATCACTAAGTATCTAGTGAACTGAATTAATATTAGGTAAAACTACTTCTAACAGCATATTATGTAAAATTATTTAAAAATTAAAATCTAACAATTGAAACAGTAAACATTAACTTTTGTGACTGGCATCTTTTGCATGAATTATCATTGATGGTCCATCTTGGTAGAGGGTAGCAAGAACATGTCCACCTAATTCTGAAAACAGACTGTACTATAAAAAAATACTATTAATAATACAAACATACAGAAAAAAAAGCTTACACAGGAGCCGCCTTTCCCTTAGAATTAAATAAAACTAATTATCTACTATCTTGTCTCTAACGTGGGTCAGTACCAGAAAAATGTAAACTTTCTGTAACAGACTGCCACGTAACAATTTGCATAGAGAAAATTTTTGCTTTACTGTCTTGACCTGCTTAAAAATGACAGCTTTTTTTTTTTTTTTAAATCAGGCACTATTTCAGAAGCATGAAATATATCCAATACAAAAATAATATAACACCTAACAAAAACAAGGGCACAACATCGACAGGCAGCACTCCTTTAGAGAATAAGTATTTTTTACTCTAGGTATTGTTCAGACAAAATTTTGGAGGTGTTCCAACAACTAATTAGCCATTTAAATGATACAATAGAAACAGAAGCTTCTCAGTAACCTAAACTTCCCTCTTAGCAGATTAAAGACATGACAACATAGTAACACTGAAATTTTTAAAGCTTCCTACAGCAAGTATGTTCAAGTTAAAAAAAAAAAAAAAAACAAGAGTTTTCACACTAAATATATTTGAGATTATTACTTTTAACAGTATTTCCCATCTAACAGCAAAACTGTTGAAGTCCCTACATGACTGAAACAAGACCAATCAAAACCCTTGATAATAAACTGGTTAAAATGGTACTAAAACCACCTTTACTAAAACAAGCAAGGAGATCCCTACTGACATCGATAAGAAATTTAAATCTGCCTACATGTGTCTGTAAATCAAAATAGGCTCTTCTTTCTTCCATCCGTTCTCGGTTTAAGTTGCTGTTGAATTCTGCAGCTTTCTTGGCAGCTTTCTTAATATATTCTGGAACTTTACTGGCTTCTACTTTCTGTGTGTTCTGCTGCTGCATTTGCTGGAATAAAAATAATTATATTAAATCACATACATTTCACTATCAGTTTGAGAACAGCCTTTTCTTACACTCCACATGTTACAGATCTGGTTCACTTATATGCCAGTTACTTACAGAGTACTCTTTATAATGATCTGTTATTCGCTGACGTTCTTTCTCTTGCAGTATAACAGAATACTCAGCATGTTTGGCAGGGTATTCTTTAATCATAAGATCAATTACTTCATCACTACGCAAAGCTGTTAGACCTAAAATAGATAAAAGCAATAATGATGCTATCTGGCAAAACTTGCTGTACGTTATTTATATCCTATAATGATCAACTCAAGCTATGAAGCAGCTAAAGACAACAACCTGCTGTGCACAATGCTTCTTTCTCTCCCAAGCAGGAGTGAACTCGTGCAGTTTAGCCTTCAAGGCTGATCAGGAGTTTGCTTCTACCCAAGGAGGTAAGGCTTATTTTTCTTGCTTACAGCTACTCAGCCACCTACTAAACTCCTCTGAGAGGCAGAACCTTTGTTCTAAGTAGGACCTGGTGAACTGTTAGTTTCAGTTTCCAAAGTTGGTGAAGTGAGTTTCATTAACTTGTGGAATTTTAACTGAAATTATGAGGTTTACTAACCTCTCTCTAGAAATCAAGGAACAATCACTGTGAGGGCAATTCAGAGCAGCAAAACTGCACACAGACTCCTGACTCCCAACGAAAGCACGTGAAGTTCAGAGGTCAGAATGCCTCAGTTTGCAGCTGCAATGCAGAACTCCTCCTTTAAAGGATACAGCACAACTGATCTCCAACCACTGACAACAAAATGCAGGTTAACTTATGTTACTACCAGGACACACTGATTATAAAAATAACCTCAAAAAATAGGGATAGCTAATTCAGCACACATCTTTACTGGACATATGAGGCAGAATATAGCATTTTGCTTCTACTGATAAAAATTAGATACTCTCACGTATATTTAAATCTAAAAAAAAATAAAAATCAAGAGAGCTCGCAAGTGAGAAATAACAGTGATGCATCAAAGACAGTTAGTATATAAAATTACATTACATTTGCACACATCCACGACAGGCACCATTTAATCTCTAACATGCTCCAAGTCACATGTATTAGTAGAGGAAGAAAAAAATACTTCAGGCTCTTTCAATATAAGCCGCATCAATGACATCATTCCATCTCAAGTACATTAAAGTGCTTTCATACACACCCTTCTAACACATAAGCTGAACCGTCTAAGACACACTCATGTTTGCTGAGTTCCAATCAACTCAGCAAAACAAGACTGATGTACTTTTTAATTTGAAAAATTATGGTGCTGTCTTTCCTAGGAGAAGAAGGTTCTAAAAGTTAATTTTCAACATAGAAGGGATTTTGCTCAGTAATTAGAAGAGATCAAAAATTATTTTTTTTATAATAAATCTGGAATACTGATACCTCACGGCCAAATTACACAAATGAGTAATGAACCAGTTTTCATTTCAGAATTTACATTTTCAGTTGAGGAGTGATGCATTTCTTCTCTACCAAACTGAATCACATTTTCTGCGTGTCATATTTTTAATACCACGACAAGGAATCTAACAATTTGTTTTCTTACCTAGCGTGCACTGAGTCTCTGTGATAACATTTAGTTCTCTGAGGTAGAGCTTCTCCTTGTGAGATAGATCTCGTCTTTCTAAATCTCCAAAGAAAACAAAAAACAGTAATAAAAATGTGCATGGTTACTCAAACTCCCCCATAAACAGTGTCTAAGTATTTTGTCAATTTTATTTCCAGGCAGTGAGAGTCTGTATTATACTAGTATTCATACAAACACAATTAATTTTATGAGTTAATTTTAAATTTAATATACACTGTAGGCACATGGTCAATTTTTCTCAGGACCCTGCCTGTGGTTATGATTTACTCTGAAGAAACCTGACATATGAGCTTAGGATGCAGGAAACACTATCAAGCACTGAAGGTACATTCTTGTTTTCTTTTTTCTCTTAGTATGCCTTTTAAAATAAATTCCATGACAGAAGAACCAGATTTGGCAATTCTGAATAACGAAGGCTCAAATCCTAGAACTGACCAATTAATTTTTTTAAATTTTTCCACAGTGTAGAAATGTTGCCACAATGCAGAAAACAGAATATAGAGATAAAGCTATATAGCAAGAAATCACCAACAAAATATTTAAAAATAAAATTGAGTTTGGTTTTCAAAAGATACTTGCTGATCTAACCCCCAAATCAGACCTGTTTACAGATTTTCAGTAAGTATTAAGTTCCTCTGAAAACCACAGTATGCATTTTCAACATGCCAGTAACAAAAATAAAAGGTACAACACACACAATTCAGGCCTGCCTTTGTCAGGGTCTTTTTTTAATCAGTTGGCTCATGCTATAGTCAAAGAGACACAGATTACATCCAAAATGTACAAAGATTTTTAGAAGAAAAACTTTAAAAATAAATACCTGGATATTTTCTTTTAAAGGAAGTCACACCCAAATATTCACTGACTTGCTCCTGAAGCATATAGTATTCTCCTGTTTCATCCGGTGGCCACTTGTATTCTATCAAGTTTTCAAAAGTAGCTGTATCTAAGTATAAGAACAACGTTAGAACAAATTAAAGAATCCTTAAGAGGGATACTTACATTTCTAGAAATTCAATAATTCCTATTTATATGCCTATGAACAACATCTATGAAGTCAGACAAGCACTTTAGAAAACTGCATCCTGTTAACCCATTTCAAAGTCACTTTTTTACACCCCACTTCACATATACTTCTCCAAACCAGCATTCATCAGTATGCTGAGGGACAGAATATGAAGAAAGGGATATTCATGATCAGGACACCAAGAAAAGCAGTGTCAAAATTCATTCAAAAAATATGTAATGTTTTAAAAACATGTAAGCTGTGCTTCTGAATGTAAAATTAGACGCAGTACAATTTGTGCTGTTTTAAAATAAAGTGTCTTTAAATATGCTGGGAGAAAAAGACAGCTAGCAACTCACAGGACACTGCCTCAATTCAGAAAGATACGTAAAGAATACAAAAGCAAAGAAAGAGGAGCTTAAGCATATCAAACAATACAATAAGATTAGCAATAAATAAGTGAATTGTAAAAAATTGTATTACCCAAGGTCCTGACTAGAAGTTTCACAGCTCCGAGAACTGTCCCCTGAACCCATACGTCGTCTTTTGGATGGCTGGCTGCTGTCATTGGAATTTTCTTCTGTGTCATCCTGAAATGAAAATGAAGATAAATATTTTAAAAATTGAGAGTATTCCACAAATAATGTAAAACACCAAAAAATATTGCAAGGCAATCCACAGTTTAAATATACCTGAACTACTGAGCCATTTAATGGCATTCTTTACAAACAACTCACAGGACAGTTTATGTAGCAAATTATTATTTTCTATAAACCAGCTGCGTGACACATAGTGGCACAGAGGAAAATTGGGTAGTTTCTCACTGATTGTGTAGGTGGAGCACTGAATCAACAGAGCTGTGGCTCTGACCACTAAGTTCATCGTTCTTGATGCAAACTACCTACGGCACCAGCACGGCCAGACAGCTGTAGACCCTACAAACTTCCCTCACTGGTGACAGTCAGGGCCAAGACTAATTCATTTAATCAGGCCAGCTCTCAAAAGCAACAGCAAGGGCAGAGCACAAACACCAAGCCCTTCCTAAGAGCTGATGCTAAGAAAAGCAAGGGAAATCTTACCAAAAGCAACACAGGAGTTTATGGACAAACTGTTAAAATAAAAGGAATGGTATACAGTTTACAAAAAGATATGATGATTGCAAGTAGCAAAGACTTGTCTTTTGTAGGGAAAAAAAAAAGAAAAAAGCTGAAACAGAGACAGAAGACAAATTTAATCTTCAGAACAAAGCTATTACACGGGAACATTTAGAAGTTAACTTACAAGTGTCACTATTCAGACTTCATAAGATCTATATAAAAAAAGGGAATAAAGGGTGAAAAAAATAGAGAAGAAAATAGAGTTCAGTAAAATCTCACAGACTAATGATTCCATTGGCCTTCTTGTGGTTTCACTGCTTTGTTGTCTAATAACACCATACAACTCCTACCTAGTGCTCATCATTAACAACTCACAAAGTGTTTAGTGATCACCCTTGCGTGATTGTAACTGAGACAGAAGGTAGAAGTGTTCAATTGAATCACCTATTGTTACCAGTCACAGAGGCAAGAACAAGAAAACTCTTTAAGTAACTGAAACTCTGGAGTAGTATGAATCACCTTTCATAACTTCTGTGAAAAGTTTAAGAAAGAAGATTTAAACTCCAGAATAAATGTTTAAATAAATGTCAGAAATAAATGGATCAAGCCCACAATTATACTTATCTATTAAATAATGACAAGACCAATTATTAGATCTACCTTAGGTATATATCACTTGAAACATCATTTAAAAAGATTCCAGGAAATGAGAATACATTACTTTCATTACATAACATTTCGCAGAACTATTGTCAAGAGAGACCATAGGGAAAAAACATTTGTCTCCTGTATTTTTGGTTTATTTCATGCTTTACACAACTCTTTACAGTTTGTTTTGGTTTTGGTTTTTTTTCCTTTCTTGTGGAGGAGTATCTTTCATACAGTAAGAACAAAAATTTAAAAGCAAAATTGAATGAAACTGTGTTTTCCTAATGCAGCTATACTTAAAGTGGCACCTCCTAGTAGTGCACCACCTACTAGTGCACCACCACTAATAATACTAATAATAGTACAGTACTAATAATAATACAATTTACTAGTATTGCCAAGAAGACCCTGTAGAAAATTCATTAAACAAACCAAGTAGCAGTTCTCAATGACAACAGTATCGCACTAGAGTACTTCGTGACACAGCTATGACTCATCAGCAGTTCATCCCTACTTCACGCATGGAACCTTAATGCACTCCAAACCTTTTCAGCTACCAGACAAAACCATGACCAGGGCCAAACCCATGCTTTGCTAAACCAAAGCTACCACAGCTCTTCAAAACATTTTTAATACACAGATCTCAACCTCACAGTTAATAGGAAGAGCCTTGTATCAGTTTCTGCTTTTGCTTTGATTTTTTTAGAATGTGGTATTCCTAAAAAATATGAGCACCTACACCACAGGAGAGATGAACGTCCTCTATTTTTATCTTTGCTTTCTTATTTGCCAAAAACTTCAGCAAATTCAGTCACACAGACTCACAAACACTAGGAAATTAGGCAGTTTGTTGCAGAGGACTTTGCAGAAAAAGTGAAAGCATTTGCATCGCACTGAGACACGCTGTATTCAACCAGTTACCGAGCCAACAATGATAATTAGGGACAGTCTGGCGGCTTTCTTTACATGGAAGGGCAAACTTTGCCAGAAAAGCCCCCTCCTCCCATAAAAACGCACGTTTCTGTAAAACGCCCGTTAGTCCTTAAGAAACAAGGCCACAGTGCGAACTCCTGGCACACGCACCAGCTACAAGCCCTGCGTAACGACCCCGCATTACATAACCGAAACGCCTGAACTGCCAAGGCATCCTGCAAAAAGTGACTCCCAACCGGCAGCCGAGGG